CCTCAAGTAATTTTCTTTTAATTAAATGCCGCAGTCTTTATGAGACTGAAGTAACTAGCCATTCTATTTTCAATCACTATTCAAATATTTATTCAATTCAGAACAGCAATCACTGAATTGCATGGCACATAAATTTCTTATAAGTCATCTAAGTGCTTAAGTATTCATGATTCACACACTACTCTACAATAATCATTTAGGCATGTAATTAGTATGTACTTGTAATAAACTAGGAACCAGTTTCCTCCATAGAGAAGGGAGGGACAGATGACTTAAATATTTTCCATCCATGGTTCTATGAAAACTAACAAGTAACTTCAAAACAAGCTAACATCAACTCAATCATACGTAACCACTTTGTTCAGAACCAGCACTTAACCAATCACCAAAACTTAATCAGCAACCCAATTCACACTAAAAATATTAAGAAATTAGATACACAACAACCAAGTTTATTTTCTTGCATATTTACTATAGCCTATTATATATATGTTCATTAGGAAGAGAGCCAAAAGATTTTAGTAAAATTGTTTTATCTTTTATTCAGAATTCAAACGACTGCTCAAACACTACTTTAAAGCAACAATGCCAGGTAAGAATATTGGTAACATGGAAATGAAGTATCACAATAAGATTTCATAACAATATTTGCCAAAGGAAGTTACATCCACTGTCTAGCATTTCTGGAATCCAATGTGCTGGTCACCAGGCTTCACAAGTTTTATAAATCTTAGTGAACATAATTCATTATTTGTTCCAACTCTAAAACAGTAGTTTTACTGTTTTAGAAACAGCAGTTTCTCCTCCCTTGGTGTTCACACCTCAACTGCTAGCAGAGCACCTCACCCTCCCTGATTGAACTAACCTTGTTATCTCCATACTGATTTATACCTGCCTCTGGAGATTTCCATTACTTGCATCTGAAGAAGTGAGGTTCTTACCCACAAAAGCTTATGCTCCCAATACTTCTGTTAGTCTTAAAGGTGCCACAGGACTCTCTGTAACTCTAAAACAGTAATTTAGAAAGTTATATGTAAATAAAGCTCCACCCCCAGCAGTGCTGACAGTGCAAACTAAAACCACAATTTAATTTGTGCACATGCCAACTGTCTGCATATCTTATTATGGGATCTCAGATCTTTCTCAGCTACCACCTTTAATGATGAATATTTTATCCATCATGGAGGCAATAAACATAGTGAACCAACAGATCACACCCAAGTGTCTACATCTTGAACCTGTGTGCCTCATACAAAAAAGGAGGCAAATGGAATCACACACAATAGATACCTAAAAATTGCTTCCTGCTATGACTGAGAAGAAAGAAAACAAGTAATTCAGTATCACATTAAATATGCATTTTTAAATAAATTTTGATCCAAAAATCCAGATGGAAGATAAGCTTTTTGAAGTGTCAGTTATTCTATTCCACATATATATTATCAAAATGCTAGCTCATAATGTTGCTTACTTGAAAGCAGAGAGAAACAGTTTTAAGGAGTTGACATCTGATATCCAATTCTTAGTGTATACTTGCACCTGACTGAAGTGTTGTCAGTATCACAAGCATGATTATATGTTACAGTCTGAGGACTAGTTTAGGTCACAAGAAGTACATCAATGATATACAGAGAGACTAAGCATAACAGGAGTTTATGACAAATGGCAGCAAGAGAAAGGGGAACCTGAGGAAGACTTACAGATTAGATTGTATTATACATTGAAATAAATTTAAAATAAGCACCATCCATAACTTCAAGTTTTCTTTTGCACAATGTAAAACACACACACGAGAAAAATCCTAAATAGAAATATCTGCCCACCATATCAATCCATTAGATCATCCTATAAAAAAAACCTTCCTGATCTAGCCATCACATCTCTTCCCAATCCCTCTTTCCCCACTTCCACTCCCCAAAATACTAATGATGGGACTTGCAGCATGCCCAGGTGGTCAACAATTTCAAGTTTTTACAGAATTAGTTGGAGGGCTTTCTTCCTAGAGTCAAGTAACCTTCCTTGAGAGCACCATTTCCTTTTAAGCCATGGGGCCACAAGCCTGGATTCCCTCTTACTGGAACCTATGTGGTATCACATGGACAGAAGTGATGTCTCAGGGGGCGAGGCACCCAGACCACTTAAAGTAGGTCTAAACTTAAAATGTTGCAGAAGTACCACTGCAACATTTGGGAGGTGTTCTCCCATCAGCATAGGTAATCCACCTCTCCGAGAGGCAGTATCTAGGCCTATGGAAAAATTGTATTGCAGTCCACATAGGGAGCTTTTCTTTAAGACTATCCAGTTTAGTGTATAGCATGGCTCCCATATTAATTTAGTTTTTCTATGGCTCTTGTCACTATTGTATCTAAGCATTTCACATAACTACTTAATCCTCACAACACTTCTGTGAGGTAAGGAGTAGTAATAGTCCCATTTTACAGAGAAGAACAGAGGCACAGAGATTAAGTGACTTGACCAAAGTAACACAAAAAGACTGAGTCCTAGTCCAATACCTTAGGCATAAGACCATCCCTGAGAGGTGCTTCTCGCTGGAAGCACATTACATCGGAGCTTTGGGGTCTGTGCTGGCTTCCCATTGGCTTTCAGGTGAAGTTTAAAGTGTTGGTCTACAAAACCCTGATGGCTGGTTTACACTGGGAACTTACGTTTGTTGCCATAGCCACATCTCTTAGAGATGTGAAAAATCCTCACCCCTGGTGTAGACAGCAGTAATGGTTCCAGTCTTGCTTCCAATGGTCACACATGTTTACATTGTAAAAGCCAAGACAACTATTAGCAACTTAACTGGAAGAATCAGTAGAAGCACTAAGTATTTGGCAATAGAGTGAACTAGCCATTAAGACTGCCCTACTCTTTCAACCCTAGAAGTGCTCCCCTGAAGGTCAGGATTGAAGTACTTGCAGTGCTGTTTGTAGAAATTGTACTGGAGCTGCCCCAGATTGTACTTGTCCTGTGTTTAAACAGATAACTTCAGTTTCCAGAACTGTCATTCTATAGTTTCCATGAACACTAAATGCATGTGTAAGTTACAAAAAAAGAATAAACCTTTGATATACAGGGAACTGTATTAAAATGGCTATCATAGAAATGGACAGGTGAGTAGATTGTTTGGGCTAGTAGGTGTTCATAATAAATTTTCAAGGCTGGACCAACTGTTATTTGAATGATTAAGTTGCATTATTTGTTAACCAAAAGTAGAAGAGACAGTAGAAAAATTTTTTAGGATGCTCTTGGGAAGTCAGGATGAAAAAATAGCTTGGTGTGTGCAATATGTGAAACAAATTTACTCCCCCCTCCCCAGAGTTAATGCAAGAGAAAAAAAAATCACCAGACGTTTATTCCATGCAGTTTCTAGGTTTCCCTATAAACCAGCCTGTTCATAAGTTCAAAATACTCTACAAAAGAAAAGGCACAACACCTCATTATAGAGCAGCCAGTCAAAAAACCAGAAATGGACAGCAATGACAAAGGCTATGGCTACACTGCATGCCACTTGCAGCAACATGCAGGGTATGCGTAGCTACAAGCAGCAGTGAGAAGTTGCGTCCACGCTGTGGTGTGGCGCTACAAGTGTCGGTGAAAAGCTCTGGCAAGGGGGGAGGCAATGGGGAAACACTCAGCAGCAGAGGAACGCTGGAGCTTTTTCCCTCTGCTGCTTCTCTGCCAGAGCCTTTCCCCACAACAGGGAGCAGCTGCAGGAGCCTTTCCCCACTGCCACAATGTCTCCAAATGGCTGTGAAGTCTGCTCTAGGCAGAAGCTTGATATACACCTATGACTCACAAACCTTGGTTTCATTGATGTTTTGACAGCATTTGTATAGCCTGCTGCACCAATAAAATATTTTTGAACTGAACAGCAGTCAACCAGAAAGATCAAACAATGTTTCACCAGTATTCTCACAAATTGTTATTTATATTATCATACAACCTAGAGGTCCCAACTAAGATAGAGGCCCTAGTGTGCTAGGCACCATACAAAGTCAGAGACAGTTCATATCCCCGAGACATTACAGTCTAAATGGACAAGATGGATAAAGCATAGGAAAAAAAGGAAGTTTTTCCATTTCACAGATGGGGAACTAAGGCACAGAGAGTCAAGATTTGGGCAGAGATCTGCCAAAGGTCACACACAGGAAGTCTGCAGCAGAGCTGGGAATTGATACCCAGTCCCGTGCCTTAACCACAACCCCACCCCTCCTCTTACACAGGGGTTCTCAAACCAGGGGTCAGGACCTCTCAGGGGGTCATGAGATTATTATGGGGGGGGGGGTCGTGAGCTGTCAGCCTTCACCCCAAACCCCGCTGTGCCTCCAGCATTTATAATGGTGTTAAATATATTAAAAAGCATTATTCATTTATAAGGGGGGGGGAGAGTCACACTCAGAGGTTTGGTATGTGAAAGCGGTCACCAGTACAAAAGTTTGAGAGCCCCTGTCTTACACCAACTCGCTCCACCAGGCTCAGCCTCTCTGTACGTGGGCTGGGGCCGGAGTGTGCAGCCCCTGGGGGCCCTTTACCCCGGGCGCTCCCACACAGACAGCCGCACACCCCGGACCTAGGTCTACGGTCGTTCCCCCCCGCGCTTCGGGCCGGGCTAGGAGGGGCCAGGGTGGATCAGGGCGAGCTCGTGACACGGCCCCGGGGGAAAAACCCGTGTTCGTGGCGGATGAGGGGCGACGGGGAGGGGCAGGGGGCCGCCCTACGGGGCCTGGGGGGCCGCCCCCCCCCCCCGCCGCTCTGTAACTGGGTCAGGACAGGACCCCCTAGCAAGGGGCGGCCCCGCTCTCCCCCACCCCAGGGGCTGGGAAGGCCCCGCGCCGCCACGCTCGCCCTGGCCGGGAGCCCGAGCCCGAGCCGGCCCCGCCGCGGGGGGCTGCCCCACCTGCCCCACGCCCCGCCGGGCAGGGGCCGCCGCTCCCTCTCGCAGGGGGCAGGAGCTGGGGACCCTCCGGGACGCAGTCCCCCTCCCCCCCGCTCACCGGCTCTCCCGGGCGGCGGCGGCGTCTCAGCCCCGCTCCAGCTGCGCCGCCTGCGAACGCGACGCTCCTCCCTTCAGGCCGGTTCGGCAGGGCCCCGGCCCCTGCGTCAGCGCGCATGCGTGCAGCGGCGTCACTTCCGGGTAGCTCCGTCAGGGCGGGGCCTGAGCGAGAGGGGCAGGGCTAAGGCGAGTGGGCGGGGGCCGAGGGAGAGGGAGTGGGGGCCCTGGGGGAGCAGGCCCTGTCCCCATGCTGGAGCTGCGGGACTGGCCCTGCTTGCAGAGCTGTGGCATTGGCATGGGGCTGTTGCAGCCAGCAGGGCCTAGGGCTGCCTAGATCAGCGGTTCTCGCCCGTCATGGCACCACAATCCCCCTTCTGACAACACAATTACAACATGACCCCGTGTGGGAGCAGAGGGGAGTAGAGCCTGAGACCCGCTGCCCCAGGTGGGGGTGGAGCTCAGGCTTCAGCCCCAGGTCCCAGCCATTCAATACTGACCCTGGTGACCCCATTAAAATGGGGTTGCGACCCACTTTGGGGTCCTGAAGTACAGTTTGAGTCCTATTGTGATAAGCATGTTGTTGTCAAGGTTGAGGCTGTTACTCTGCTCTTACTGCTTCAGGGGGCACAGGGTGGTCTCCAGCTGCCCCAAGGAGTTGCTGTATCACACTGAATGTCACCATAGGGTGATGCATCTGTCCCCTCCTAAGAGCTCCAACAATCCTCAGAGACATTTCATTGACATGACAGACATGGAGACAGTTTCACTAAAATCTGTAATAGTCCTTAAAATAAGGAACGGTGGCAAATGCACTAACGAAGACGACAGCCACAATATCTCATCCAGGCTATAAAAGAAGATGTTGGCTGCTGCTTCTTTCCAAGCTGCAACGTGCCGACATAAACGCTCACGTCACAAATATCAGATTTACCAGAGTGAGAGCGTTAGTACATTGCTTTTAAAGTCTGAGGTCAGTCATTACTGTTTTTGCTGCACATGCTATACCAGGACAGAAATAAAGGGCTGTAACAGTCTGTAAGATTGTTATTGTAATTATAAAGAATGTTCGTATGCAATTTGAACCTAGGATTATTTTCTATAGTATAGTCAGTCATTTAAACTACACCTCTACCTCGATATAACGCTGTCCTCAGGAGCCAAAAGATCTTACCGCATTATAGGTGAAACCGCGTTATATTGAACTTGTTTTGATCCACGGAGTGCGCAGCCCCACCCCCCGGAGCACTGCTTTACCGCGTTATATCCAAATTTGTGTTATACCGGGTCGCCTTATATCGAGGTAGGGGTGTATTAAAAGCACAAGCCCACCAGTTGAGTGTATAGTACAGGGGTTCTCAAACTGGATGTTGGGACCCCTCAGGGGGTCACAAGGCTATTACATGGGGGGTTGCAAGCTGATAGCCTCCACCCCAAACCCCACTTTGCCTCCAGCATTTATAATAGTGTTAAATATATAAAAACATGTTTTTAATTTATAAGGGGCGGAGGGTCTCACTCAGAGGCTTGCTATGTGAAAGGGGTCACCAGTAAAAAAGTTTGAGAACCACTGGTAGAGTAGAACCTCAGAGTTACGAACACATCAGGAATGGAGGTTGTTCATCTCTCTAAAATGTTCATAACTCTGAACAAAACATTATGGTTGTTCTTTCAAATGTTTACAACCGAACATTAACTTAATACAGCTTTGCAACTTTGCTATGCAGAAGAAAAATGCTGCTCGTTCTTTTTTTTGTAGTTTATGTTTAACACAGGGCTGTATTGTACTTGCTTTTGGGGGGGGGGGGGAGGGCTCTGTTGCTGCCTGATTGCATATTTCCAGTTCCAAATGGTGTGTGTGGGTGACTGGTCAATTCATAACTCTGGTGTTCATAACTCAGAGGTTCTACTGTATAAAATTGTTCAAGACAAATGGACATAAAATGTGACAATTGCTAATAGATTTAAGCCTTGCAGAGCTTATTAAAGAAAAATACTCAAATAATATTTTACAATATTAAGTGAATGAAATGGATGCTAAAAGTACAATATGTTCTGTTGCTCCATAAAAAAGCCAAAATTAAAACCCACACTGATATCAGAATCTTGACAATATAATCCACAATGCTGAGTTCCTGGTCTCTCTACTTTTCAACTATCTGCAAAACTAAGTAAGTGATGAGAAAAAAAATCATGAAAGTAGTAGCTTCAATTGATGCAAGATTTGTTTCTTTAACATGTATTAAGTTTTCTCTCTTTCCTACTGGACAAGGTGTCCCCCTTATGAAAGCCATGTGCATAGCTGGGGCTAATCAACCTCCTTGCTGACCATCTCAACAGACATGAATGGACCCTGGAGCCAGAATTACTTCCCTCATCCAACATTTAATAGTGATTGCTCCAGGTAAAGGCTGCCTGTTCTTTGGATAAATGTGCTTCAGTCTCCAAAGCTGTCACACTTTTCACTAGTACCAAATTTTCTCTCTCTCTCTCACACACGCACACACACACACACACACAAATTATTACTTTCATTAAAAGAATATTCATTTTTGACAGAAGTAACTTACTCCAACAGCTGCAGAAGGGTATTCTGCACTGCAGCTTGGGTGGACTGTGCCAAGCAAATAACCAGTCTTTGTCCCAAGAGCTTTCAGTCTAAAAGGCACAAGTGGATGAAATACAGTACAGAATGAACACACAGATATTGAAAGGGTATTACTGTCTTTCACACTTCTGGTCATTTTGTAAGAGAAAGATCCCATCATGGGCCACCTTCCTCTCCCACCAACCCAGTACCACAATGTATGATTCTCAAAATGTTTCATTCTACAGGCCAGCATGAAAGACCCCAGAAGACCATGTTCTGAGAACAGCTGTTACACATGGAAGCAGATTTTGGTAAGCTCAGAGAGCTGATAGGTAAGGTCCCATGGGAATCAAGACTGAGGGGAAAAACAACTGAGGAGAGTTGGCAGTTTTTCAAAGGGACACTATTAAGGGCCCAAAAGCAAGCTATTCCGCTGGTTAGGAACTGAAGAAAATTTTGATTGAAACCCCCCTGGCTGACCAGTGACATTTTCCTTGACCTAACAAAA